TGTCAGTTTCATGTTTCATTAAGCTTTGTTATGTTTTAGATAAAGTTCTAGTCATTTACAGTATGTTTGGATAAATAAAGGGGAAGGAAAAGAAGGGGAGGGAGGAGAAGAGGAGGGAGAGAAAGGGAGGGGAGGGAAGAATGGTGAGTTTTCCTTCCAAATTTTTCCATTGTTGAAGGGATCAATTTTCTACAATTTAATTCCTCCATTTCTCTCCCTTCCAATTCTCTTCCTTCCTCATTTGTTATCCAAATGAAAAATACTCCATCTCTCCATTTCCCTTCCCTTTCTTTCCCTCCATTTCCTTCATCCAAACACACCGTTAGGTAGGGTCTGTTTTGTAATTGAAATTGATTTGGCTGCCATGGAGGGAAGGGAGTGAGGGGGTTTGTGGTCCATTCCACTATGAGGTATGATTGTAGACTACATCAAATTAGATTAGATATTCTTATTTTCATTTGCTTATTGATGTACTTCATGCATATATCTTTAATTCCACATTTGCAAAAACTATGGAAAACTAAAATAAAAAATAAAAATTAATTAGTTTAGAAGGTTTTCTCTTATATATTACATACGTACTCATGTACAACGAAGGTTAAAGATCTATCAGCTCTAATAATCTGATCAAATTTGACCAAATATTTCAGTCTGACTAGACTGAACTCTAGAAAATGACCATCTTCCATAACACCTTAATTCAAATGAGAAGAACAAAATTTGAATATGAAGGAAAAAATCTCTCTATTTTTGAGGACCTGTTATAGTTTACCTTATTTCCATTCAATTCAGAAAATTTTAGATAAGATAATTTAAAAATGGAAAAAGATATATAAGAAGCTAAAAGTGGAAAAAATAGACAATAAACAAACATTTATTACACTAATTTGCTCGAGAATTGTCGATAAAATTTCCGACTTAATAAAAAAAGGAAGTATAGTAGGGCTGCATATAGCGTTACACTTTAAAAATAAGTTCAGATAGGAGATAAGATGATAATGGTTATTCAAGTTCAAATTACAAATAAAAATAAGTTTTAATAAATTCACATAAATTTAGGGGTTTTTTTTTTTTTGTGTTTAGAGAGCCACTAGGGCGGGGGTGATGAGAATTGATCTCAGGATCTCCTGGAAATCGAGAAAGAAGTTCTAACCACTTGAGCTATCCTTACTCTCTCATATAAATTTAGGTAAGTTTAAAGAAAATATTATATATAAATAAGTGAAAATCAGGTAAATGGAACACAGACTGAAAGTTCGATACACATATTATTCATATGGTCAAAATAAATTAATTTTAAACATAAATGATTTATATAAAATAAAAAATTAACAATGTATGACCTAGTTATATTCATCTCAATGTAACTTTTCAAGTTTTTAACTTTTTATAATTTTCACTAATACAAAGTCAGAGATGTTATGATCAAAGATATGTGTTTGGAGATGGTTTTATTTATTAAATTAAAAAAATTGTATTATAGGTCGTGAAAAGTCAAACGAGTCAAAATTTAAAACACCAAAGGTTAATAAAAAAGTAACATAGACTTAATGAGAATTGAGAGAACAGACACAATATAATTAGGGAGAGTAAAGAGAAGGCAAAAGTGTGTTGCAGTAAACACGATCCCAACACTTTTTTCTATTTTAGTCTTACGATACTTGGAAAAAGAAAAACTTACACCTCGTTCAATACTATTAAGAATTAGAATTAGACAATTGGAGAAGGCTGGTCTCGAGACCAAGTATATTATTCATGCACCCTTGCCCAAACGACAGCGTTTCACTCTATGAAACGTAAATAAGAGCTTACGTGACGTGACGTCACCAAGCAATGTGTTGTCAAATCAGGTATAAATACCTGTTTTAAAATATAAAAAAAAAACCCAATATTCAATTTACTACACCGCCATAACATTTTCTCTCTCTAACCACAACTTTCTCATCACTATAATTCCTCTAAAACCTCCATAAACATTCTCCAAAAGCTTAGAAATCACAAAAATTCATACGTAATCATGGATATTAGAGAAGAAATTTGATGGCGATAACACAGTTTCTGGAAATTAGCGTAAAAAATCAAGGTTATTTTCAATTTTTCGCTAATTTGAGCAACGAATTTCACTCTAAAATGTAAAATTATGTCCAATTGCACTCTAGATTTTGTTAATTCACCATTTTCTCTCTCTAATCGTCAATTTCACTAACTATTAGTTCAATTTTAGTTGATTTATTTAGATTTATGTACATTTAAAATGTTGTTTGGTTTATTTGAATTTTTTGTACATCTATCTTGTGCAGAGGAGCACGAATTTCGTCTTCAATGCCTCAATCAAAGACCAAAAATGACAAGATTAAAAGGTCGTAAGTTATTTCTACATGATTTTATGTTTGTTTTCAATAAAAATTAGGGAACAATTGAAACCTTAACTTTTTTTTAATTTCAGAGAGAAAAAAGCAAATTCACAGTGAGAGAGCAGAGAATTGTAAGTGTGTTTCAATTATTTTGTCGTACAAAATTAGTAGAATTATATGAAAGCTAAATGTTCATTTTATGATAACTAAATGTTCATTTTTGTATCTTACAAATAGAGATGACCATGATGATGTACCTCTTATTAATAAACTTAAAAACAAGCGCGAAAATCCTTCCCATATAATAGATCTAGCCCTATTAAATTATATCAGATCAATTGAACAGCCAAGTAATTAAGTTATATAATGTTCATTTTTGATATTGGAAAAATATTCAATTTAATTTAAGAAAAAAATCAGAGAAAATATTGATGTTCATTCTCATTGTTGATGATGTTCATTCTCATAGTTGATGATGTTCTTTTGGTTTGAAAGCATTTTCAATTACTTTTAGTACCTTTTTAATATGATGCTCAAAATAAATATAGTTAATGTTCATTTTCTTATAGTACCTTGTTTGGTGTTAAATGATGCTCAATTACTTTTAGTACCTTGTTAATATGATGTTCAAAATAAAAATAGTTAATGTTTATTTTCTTATAGTACCTTGTTTGGTATTGAATGATGCTCAGTACCTTGTTCATATGATATTCAAAATAAAAATAGTTGATATGATACTAAATAACTTATAGTACATTGTATGGTGTTGAATGATGTCGTGTTGGAGATGTAGGAGAGGGTGTTTGCCCTTGGAGTTGGTGGAGGGGACACCATGGATGGAGTAGGTGGTAAATCTGGTTGTAGGAGAGGGTGTTTGTTATTTGAACTATGTTCATTAGCAAAAAATCAGAAGTTCATTTTTAAAGAGTGAGGGGACTTCAAAATGATGTGGAAGATAATGATCATCATTATCTTCAAAATGAACTGCTGAAAAAAATAATTTGTTCATTTTCATAGTTGTGCAAGTTCATTTTGTTTTCAAAGCATGTTCAATTTACTAAATCAAATAATGAAACAATTAAAAATGTTATAAGATATTCAATGTTAAAACAAAATGTTTATTTGTATATCTATTCAATCTTTATTAAAACTATGCTTATTAATTTAATATCAAATGATCATTTTTTTTTTAAATAGGGAAGTGACTTCAAAATACAATAACAAGTTGAATATATATGCAAACTTCAACAAGAAAATGTACTGTTGTAGGAACATTAAGGTATCAAATTGTTAATGGATGTTCATAATAATCAATGTAGATGTTCATTTTCCTATTATGCTCATAAAATGATAAAAGTATTCAATGTGTGTTCATTTGGTATTAGAAAGATTTTTTTTTTTTTGTTCATTTTCATGCATATAAACTGATGTTCATTTTCATAAAAATGATACAGTCTACTGTACACCAATAAATAAATTTTCAATAGCATAGATATTTATTTTCTATTTATTACTACAGTATTTAAGAATATTTTATTGGTGTTCATGTTGAATATTATTGAATGTTAATGGTTGTTCATTATTATAAAATAAAATTTAAAAAAAAAAAAGAAAGAAAAAAAAAAGAGCACTATATATATATATATATGATCCACTAATCACAAATACATAGATGTTCATTTCCATATATTGGATGTTCAAAATCATAGAATTGGATATTCATTTTTGTATTATGCTTATAAAAGTATTCACTGTGGGTTCGTTTAGTATTAGAAATATTTTTTGTTCATTTTCATGTAAATTGATGTTCATTTATATATAAAATAGAGTTCTATGATAGATAAAAGAAATTATATGGTCCATTAAACACTAATAAATAGAGGTTCATTTTCATATGTTGGATGTTCATTTTTCTTTGATTTACTATTTAAAAGTATTTTATTGGCGTTCAAATTGGATATAATTAGGAGTTCAAAATTTTAAAAGTGGATGTTCATTTTCATATTATATATGCTCATAAAAGTATTCAATGTCTGTTAATTTAATATCAAAATTTTATTTTTGTTCAGTTTTATATAAAAAGGATGTTCATTTCATTAAAATTAGGATCCAACAAATTTTGTCCAACCAATGTAATAGACCCACACCAATAAATGTTCATTTCTCATAACTTGGATGTTCATTTCATCAATAATTTCCTATTTAAGAATATTTGATTGATGTTTAGTTTCATATTCATAAATGTGTTTAAATTCATATTAGTTAAAGTTATTGTAAAGTCCTCAAATTTTTCATTGTAATAAGTGTTTATAATTTTATATGTAAATGTTCATTTTCTTATTATGTTCATAAACTTAAAACAAAAATATATAAAACATACAATTTATTGCTATTTGTTTTTGTGATCATTTGTATTCATTTTCCTATCACTTAATGTTTATTTATTTAGTATTACATGTTCAATACAGACCATGTAATATTTTTATAAATATGAAAAACATATAAATTTCCCAATTCAAAACATATACTCCGTAATATTCAATCAAAAAAGCAAAAAAATTTAAATCATTCAATTAAAAAAAAAAAAACCGATTATTTATATTATACAAAATAAATAAATACAAAAGAAAATTAAAAATTAATATAAACTCAAATTCATCCATTAATTATCAAAGAATTTAAGGTGAAGAATCAACTTTCAATTCCATTCATATACACCATCGGAAATCACATTTTCAAAGATGAAAAATCAAAATATAGAAGATGACCATAAGAGAGAAAAATAGAAAAGAAAAGGGAAGAGAATGATAATTGAAAAACTTTAAGTTAATTGAAAATAGAATTTATCCAACTGAATGAAAACAAAATTACCCAACTGAATTTCTGAGTGATGAGCAGAATTTAATTAGATGTTAAAAAACTACAAAACGACGCGCTTAAAGGAAGGAGCACCATATACGACGCCGTTATAGTGGAGGACCAACCATCCACTGTAACGGCGTTATAGTGGAGGACCACCGTTATAATTGCTGGTCTTGAGTCTAGGTAAAAATTTGCGAGGATTAGAGGCAGAAAATGAGTCGATTGATTCGAGGCAAGTCCATTTTGTTCGTATCATGTTATGTTAAAGAGACTCTTGGATTATGTATCAGTAACTACGGTTAGTAAATATGATTGCAGGTTGTGCCTTGTGTCAGGCCCACGTGCTTTAATATTAGCTAGGCCTGACCAAAGAGTTATGTGTCGTGTCATACCATATATGCTACCTGTTTCGGGGTTTTCTGATGTCCTGCGGGAGAGTTACAATTCCGAGACTGGAACCGGACGCCTGTACCTGCAAAACAAACGGATGCTCCGGATGATGGGAGATCTGCCTCCGACGGTCAAGTTAGTACTTGATTAAGGAGTAATTAATGCGGAAATTAAAGTGATTGGGTCTCTTTAGGTGAGAGTGTTTAATGTATGTAATCTGAGTTCTCTCTCCCTTAATGAGGATTAAGAGAGGTATTTATACCCTCGGGAAACGTGCCAATCTAGGTTTAGGTTAACCTTGGGCTGATTGGGCTTCCCTCGGAAGTTGGGCCTAGGTGGCCGGTTTCTCCATTAGGCATGGAGTATGCCATGTGTCATGACATCATAAGTCCAGGGTGGACGAATAAGCGTGTGCCACGTGGCAAGCCCTGAGAGGTCCAACTGGGGAACACTTGGCAGGACCTGATTGGCCCACGTGGCGCATTCCGATTGGTGGGAGAAAAATCCCCTAATCATTTGCCCCTCACAGGTGGCACGTGACTGGTCACGTGTTACCTGTGACAGGTGTCGCCCTGTAACAGGCGACGGCCCGCTACAGGTGTCACTCGGCGAGAGGCCGAGAGATTCTCCCGCCAAAATTTTGAATTCTGGAGGTGACCCCTCGCCTTCTCACTTCGCCTATATAAAGGAGTGTTGACTTCGGTCATTTTCACACTTGAGAACTTTGTGAGAGAACATTCGAACCCCTGAACTTGCTCTGACATTTTGGACCCTTTCTGCCTACCGCCTGCTCTGACAAGCCGACTGCAAAGGACTTTCAGAACTTCATCAATCGTCACTCGTTCAGGTAACCGTCGGTTCTCTTACTCTTAATTTTCTCTTTACTTTATTCTTTTTTGAAATGGCACCACAGAAGCACACGACACGACCTAGGTTAGTGATCAGCCGGTCACCGGGGACGGCTGAATCTAGGACTAGGAGTGCCGCCTGCCCTTTTCTGGACCCATCTTTGCCCTTTATACAAAGTTCGACTGTATCTGTGTCTATGCAGAGCATGATGGCTAGGACAAAAAAGACTGCCAGGATATCAAACTCAGACGGCTCCTCCCACAGGGTGCCGATTAGTGAAACATCTGACCAGGCGCCAGATGTGGAAGTGAAAGAAAGCGGCTTAACAGCCGGCAATTCTACATTCTCTCCTGCTCCTTTTAGAGGAGAGGAGGCGGGCCCCTCCGGGAGAGGGGAGGAGTCGTCCTCTTCGGACTCGTCAGAGGACGAATCCGGGTCTAGCTCTTCTGGCCATGCTTCTCTGGACACAGAAGAGAAAAACAGTCGCCTACAAGAGGCGAGACTTTCTCACGCAGTTGAGAAGGGGGACAATTGGGCGGAGCCATCCGCCTCTCACCGAGAGAAAAATACCCCCTACTACTGCACGGTACCTCGGGGCCGGATCACGGTCATGCAAGAGAAAGTGGAGAGCTTTATCGCAAACCACACAATGGGCCCCGACTTTTTAGTCTTCGTGCCGGATCCAGAAGACACAGTCGTCTGGCCGGCTGGTACCAGTTATGATAGCGCCTGCTTTGGCTGCTACGAGGCGGCCATCAAGGCTGGGCTGCGCTTCCCACTACATCCGGCTGTTCAGCGGATCTTGGATGGGTATGAGTTGGGGTTATGGCAGTTAGCCCCGAACTCCTGGGTCAACGTACTCGGCTATGTGGCCGGGTGCGAACTGCACGGGGTGGAGCCGAACT